TTTTTTTTTTAAAAGATGGATGGGCACTTCCCCCTATATCACACACAAACATAGATTTATTTACATATAAGTCTATAATAAAAAAATCATTAAAAAAATATATGGAATTAAAAACAATTGCTTCAGCTTAAGAGTTTTCCACAAGATTGAGATGAGAGTGCAGGATGCATAATATGAAGTAGATATTAGCAAATGACACAATCTGCAAAATAAAAAATAATAATAATTCATTTGAAAAATGAAATCCAAATATATTTATGAAATTAATTCTGCTTTAATTTATACTTTATAGCAAACAATTTACTAAAAATAATGTGAATTCCATTTCACGTTCTAACAAAAAGAAAAGGAAATGGGGGTTAACTTAAGGAATGACTTATAATCATAGAGAACATTTTGGCTATAAATATGTAAAATCTCGGGAGGAACAATTAAGGAGAAGAAAATAGAGAATCTGAAAAATATGATCAAACATAATGTGACTCCATGAAACGCATAAAAAAACTTCATAAAATCAAACATAAACCCATGTATCATAGATAAGGTACATTAGGAAATTAATAATATGCTTGTTATTGCTGAGCTTTGAAGCTATGTATATAACCCTGATACAATTAGACACTACCAACTAAATAAAAAGAAATAGGACCATGATTGGTACACACTCGGATTTAACACCCGGGTGTGCACCCTCCACATAAAAAAAAAAAAAAAAGAAATGGACTGGGTGCTTCCCCATTTTTTTTGTTTTTATGCGGAGTGTGCACACCCGGGTGTTGAATCCGGGTGTGCATACATCATTTTCCAAAGAAATATTGTTATATATAAATTCAAAGAATGAGACAGAAATCAATTGTACCATTTAAGGTTGCGGATTTCTCCTAATAACTAGAAACGATTTTTGCAAGGATTTGTTCTTTCTAGCTACCTCAAAAATTTTAAAAGAAAACGCAACAAAGTTAAAATCTAGAAAATTAATAAAAGCACTCTTAAACCCAATATTTTGAAGGAGACTAGAAGAAACGTTATAATTTAAATTAACACTTATAATATATACTAGAGTTTAATAAAGTAGTGATGAAGTTAGCAAAGCATATGTTAAAACCAATTTTTGTTGGAGAACAAAGAACTAATGTGAAGAAAACTACAAAGGGATTGAAAAATTAAACCTGCTGGTCTAGAACTTGGGCTTCTTCAATTAGAAGGTTTGAGAATAGAAAAGGCAGATTTTACCAAAATGATGCAATCTGCCAAAAAATAATACAATTTAAGATGATTAACCTTTAAAATTTTACAGTTCAATAATAAAAATTTAAATATTGACATTTTTAAAATTTATGATTTCGAGTTTTAATAATTAAATTTGGACTATGATTCAATATTTAATTTTTTTTTGTCAATTTAAAACCATAATATTTTTAGATGGCATTTTAATTTGACTCTCCTTTTAAGTTTTTTTTTTTAATTTTCTCAAAAGTATTTACTTTTACGTTCATTCTTAATTCTAGATATATATTTATTTATTCGTATTTTACATGTTTTAGTACTTTAGATTCCATAATCAAACCACACATTTCATATTATACTCTTGTGTTACTTTATGAGCTGTGTTATATTGATGGATATTATGTTCAATTTTTTGTAGAGTAATTTTTATTTCCTTTTAGAACAATTTTTTTTTCCTTATTTGTATCATATCTAATATTCTAGATTTATTTTAGTATATTTTTAATTATTTTCAATAAATTTTAAATTAATTCCAATTTAGAGATGCACTCCTCAATATTTAATATTTTGGTAGTAATATTCCAGCTTAATATTTTAGTTAAAAGAAGATTTGTAATTATTTAAGCAACTTAACTTCTACACAATTTTTTTTTTTTTTTTTGATTTAGGATTTGAAAATCTCTCCAAAAAGTGTGTTTGGTTTGAAGGAAGGAGAGTGATGGATTTGTCAACCAATCAAATTGTAATATTTAAAAATGTTATAATTCGATTGGTTATAAAATACATTTCTTTTGTTAACAACTTAAATAACTTAGTAATATTTTTTTTTTTCAATAGAAGAAAGAGATCAAAAATTCAAATCAAAATGACATACAAGTGAAGTGGATTAAGGGATGAGAAAGGGTTATCTCCTATTATGCACTGATACAGTTGGTTAAAAAAAAAAATCTCATTTATTCTCTTTCATATATTTCCTTCAAATTAAATTTTAAAGGTAGCAAATTTCCCTTTTCTCTCATTAGTACCCTATTTAATGTACCCTTAAAAATACAATAATTTTTTTATAAATTATTGTAAATTAGGTTTAACCCACACTTTAACAAATTTCAATATATTTACCTAATTTATCATTCATTTTAATGACAAAATCCAATATTTATTATGCAATTCAAGTTTAACTTAACTACTCAACATATTCATCATTTAACATTGTAAAGAAAAATCATATTGTAAATTTATATAAATTATTATAAATTGAGATGAGGGAGTATTTTTCTTTTTCTCCTTCAAAAAATCACCATGGGGAAGGGGAGTGTTCTATGATTGTGTGGGGCCTTATTATTATTGCTAATATCTTTAAACTAACAATTAAATTGTTCATACTCATTGAGAATTTTGAACAAAACCATTCATGTTGTGAATACTAAGAATGCTATTGTTTTTTTTATCGGTTGATTAAAAGCTAACACTAATGTCTTTTTTGGTTTGAGGGAGAGGAGAGGATGAGAAACTTCTGCATTTGGATAATAAAAAATTTGAGGGGAAATGAGGGGAGGTGGTCCATTATTATTATTATTTTGCATTTTAGTTTAACCAAACGAAGGGAAAGCATTTTGTTCAAAGGGTATAATGACAATTGAATTATAAAGTTTGCCAGGAATATAGGCATTAGTAAGTGTTTAGATTTAAGATATAAATAATAATAACCTTTATCTTTATTGTTGTCAAGGGGTTTTCTAAAATTAAAATTGAATTTGACTATTTTTATGTTATTCAATTATTGTTTGCCAATGGCTCTAACATTTTAAATTACAAAGAACTCATGAAGAATTTTATTCTAACTCAAACTGCAACATGTCAATAGGGATAGCTATATGTGTACTAACCAACTTCTTTAACTTCTGTTGTTTTTTTATAAATGTCCATCTCTTCTGATTACGTCTTATTTTGCTTACGTCTTATTTTGCTTATGTACTAGGAGTTCATTTTCTCAAACCACCTTAATGAACTCTCTTTTATTGTACTAATATAATTTTGTCATTTTTTCTCAAAAAGAATAAGGGAAAAAAAAGTAATAACTTATTTTTCTTTAAAACATTAATATTCCTCATTTCTATTTCAAATGTTTAATTATCAGTATGTTTGGGTTGGGAAGAGGGGAAGATTTTTTTGACTAATTAAATTACAATATTTAAAAAATATTATAATTTGATTAGTTAAAAAATCTTCTCCTCCCTCCTGAAATCATCTAGATCGAAATTTACCGCTAGCTTAACAAATTTTTGAGCAAAAGTCTACAAGTTCTTAAAAATTTAAACTCAAATTATTAGTAATAGTTAGTTTCCATAATTATATATCATACTTACAAGTCCCCATCAATATGAGACTCGGGGCATCACACCTCTATTTCCCAAACATATTATAAATTGTTTCTTTTCTCTATTTTTGATATTATAGAAATCCTCTTATTTGTATAAAAATATAAAAAATTACACAAATATATTTAGCATATATTTTTAATTTATATTTAATTTTTAAAAATAAATAATATATTACATAAAAATTAAAAATATAACTTATTTCATTGTATGTTTCTGTGCAAGGGCACGCGTACCATCTAGTTACTGATTATTAAGAAAACGAGGAATGACCTACCACTTTGACTATATTTGGAAGCAAGAGGAGTGCTAGGGGCACTCTCCGGCCAACACTTTCACTTTTATTGGGCCACGTTATTCTGGTCGGTAAGAGGTTGACCTCAAAGCCGGAACAAGCTTACGTGACCCAATGAAAGGGGAAGTGTTGGCCGGAGAGTGCAAGAGGCGAGTGCCCCTAGCACTGCTCTTGGAAGCAATCATTTCTTAATGGTGAAGAAGGTCGAAATCTCAAAATAATAATAATAATAATAATAATAAATAAAATAAAACAAACTTACCACGACCCCTGCACGCTTTAAAAACGCGTAATCAAAGGGTATCCTTCAGAAAAACACATCAGATCAGACCTGAAATTAAAAGGAAAAAAGGAAAAAGAATAAAAGATAAGTGCAATTATGAGACAAAACAAGAGCTGGGTTCATCTTCCTCCCCGCAACCGCAAGGCGTAGGATAAAAGCCTGCTTTGATCAGTTTTTAAATTAAGCTAATGTGGATTCTAAATTTAACCACAACCACTCAAAAATAATGTTTCAGTTTTTTTGCCTCTTGACTTCCCCCTTTGCATCTCGCGCCTGCACATCATCCATAAGACCAACCCCAAATTTACTATTAAGTCTCAAAGTTTAATTAAAGTATATAAACCTCTAAACTCTATCATGTAAGTAATTTAATCCTCAGTTCTTTAACTACTCAAAAAATAACGGCACTACTCTACAAATAAGGGCTAAATAACAAATCTAGAGTTAATTCAGTGGATTAACATATGATTTTGCCAAAAACTTTTCGATTCCGAAATCTCAAATAAGGAACTTCATCAGTGGAAGGAATATATACCTCCCAGAGGCTGGAGCAAATGAAAGCGCAGCAAGCAATATCTGCAGCCGATGGTAGAATACTCCGATTTCGTCAACCATGCGCAACTGCCCACAAGAATGACAGTAGAAATCAGAAACCTCTCTGGACGGGGTTCTGAGAATGGATGCTGCGGATGCGAACAGGGTTGTCAAACTCGAGTTTTAAATCGTAAAATCTTACGATTTTACGATGTTATGTATGGATTTTGAGTAAAACCTACTTTAAAATCGGGTTAAAAGCGCGATTTTTTCGTAAAATCGTTTGAAATCTCGATTTTACATTCACAAAAATTGAAGAAGAGATTTCCAGAAATTTTCCGCAGGGGAGGAAAAGATTTTGGACTGCTGCGGTGCCGGCGTGCCACTGCTCACTGCCACTGCCCACATCTCAGGCATTGGCGGGATGGAAATCTATTTGGTGACCCAAATCATGTGGAGCCAGCCTTACACAGTAGGATTTGGTTGCTGCTGCTTACTGCTCAAACAAAGAAGGATAAAATTTGTTGCCAAAAAAAGGAGTAGATAAGGATCAGAAAGCGAGCTTGAATGGAGAAAAATGGTAGAAATGAAGGAAGATGATAAGGCGAAACCAAGGTACGTGAAACAATGGAGGGGTACTCTTTTTAATGGGTAGTATGTTGACACGTGATTGGTGTTGTTTTTGGGCGGTGCAAGCTGGTTTTGGACAATACCAGCTGCTAGAGGCACTCGCCTCCTGCACTCTACAGCCAACACATGTTTTTTTTTTATTATTTTACGATTCGATTTTATAATTGTGATTTTACTTATTCAAAACAATTATATATAAAATCTTGATTTTCACATTATTAAATTTGATACTGCTAATTGTGAGTTCTCGGTTGGTACCTTAAAAACCATGGGCTGAATCATATGAAGGGTGTTGGAAAGAGCGTGCTGGAGCGAGTGCACTCTCAAGAAAGTACCGAATCTTTTCTTGGCGGAAATCAATGCCTGCCCTTGACCATGTTTTGGTCAGCCTTTGACCATGTTTGGGGGATCAATGGCACTATCTCGGCGAAATCCAATGGCAGTACTTGTCTTTACATTTTTTATTGGGGGAGACCGCTAAAGGAATAATGAAAGAAAAAAGGACGGGTGAAAAGAAGAAAAAGATTTGGGAGATCCGTACCCAACTGGCATGCAATTATTGACTTGTATGGGGTTGGTTCGGGAACCCAGAACCAAGACGCGTCATAAGAAGGTTGAAGTACTAAATTCAGTGTATGAAAATTATTTTAAAATTTTAACTTTCAATACCATTTGGTCTGTTGATAAAATTTCATGTGACAGTGTGACACCATTATGCTGTTAACTCTGTACTCATGTGGCAAATCCAAACAATATCTAATCTGTGCCCTTAAATAACACAATATAAATGCTGTAAATTAAACCATGTGCAGTGTCTAAACCCAACCCAAAAAAAGAAAAAGATTTTGAAATAATTTTTTGTGTTATTTTTTGATATAAGATAATGTGTTTTTTAAATAATTTATTTATTTAAAATTTATAATATTAAATTTATTTATTTATTTAATAATATATAAAAATATATAAAAATACAACTTAAAAAAATTATTCTTATATCACCACTTTAAAAACAATTTCCAAACGGCTCCCATAATAAATGAAATGAAAATTACCAGGGAAAATTAATTTAAGTCCGGAAATTCTCTGCCGGGTTTACACGGGCCAACAATATTGCCTGCCACGATGCAGACAGAGAAAGAGACGGCTGACGGGGGGCCGAAGATGTTAACAGCATTTATATATTTAAGTTGTTAACTAATTTGGGCCGTAAAAAAAACCATTTCAATATTTGAGATGTTAGGATTTATTTTTTTTAGAGTTTATAAGTATTTAAGGTTTAAATTTTGGATATTTCTAATTTGTTCTTTACATTGTAATTAGTACACCCTTTTCATTTTAATTAATATTAAAAATAAAAATTATCATTTATTTAAGTAATTATTTAATTAAAATAATTTATATACGTGATATTAGTGATGAAATTAATGATAATTTTTTTATTTTTTAATATTAATTAATATTAAAAATGTGCTATAATTACATCCTAGGATGGAGGTTTAAAAACCCTTAAAATTTTTTAAAATTTTGAATTTAAGATGTATTTGAAGATTTAATATTTAAGTGTTAGGGTTTATTCACACAATCAATATATACATAAACAGATGTTAAATTGACTACATAAACAGATGTTAAATTGACTACAAAAACATGTTAAATTAACCAAATCAATAAATTTAAAATTTTAATAAAAAATTGTAAATAAATTTAAAGATTTAACATAAGATTTTATCAAATTAAAAGTGCAATAAGAAGTCACTGTCAATTGGATGTTACATCAAATTTGTTTGAAAGAGATGAATTACAAAAGTGCAGGAGAAGAAAAGAGATCAGCTATTAAAATTCTCTCCTACCCAGTTTTCCGTTAAATGAGAGGTAGTAGTGACGGGTCGTAACGTATTTCTAATTAGAAGATTTTCTGTCACACTCACATAGAGAAAAGTCTTCGATGTAATCACATTCCACTAGCAACTTACGTGGGTTAGTAATGTGCAGAAAAAATTTTTAATGCACGTTAAAGTTTTAAGTCTCTACCTCGGGATAATTATAATATTTTTTTTCTTCTATTTTCCTTTCTGTTTCCTCCATGTTCCTCAATTTTTCTCTATTCCCGTCCCTCTAAATGTAGGATTAATGATGCACCTCTTTTTTTTTTTTCTTTTTCTTTTTTTTTTTTTAATGTAATTAACCTATCCCTTCAAAGACGGGTAGCATTAGTAATAGTTAAGAAAAATGCGTGTTGGAATAAGATATTAAAAAAAAAAAATGGGCCTATTGGAATAAAGATCTGGAAGAGTTTTGAAAAGTCATAATTGCCTACTCACCATATTGTCGGCGGATAAGGTGACCTCAAGCGCGGAGCTAACAGTTGATCAAGGGTTAAGGAGTGGGAAAGGCTAAAACTGAAGAGCTAAAAATTGAAAACTCGTAGTTGCCTGCCCTACCATAGTTGCCGAGCATTGTTGAAAATGTGTAATTGCCTAACCTACCATATTTGAAAAAAGCAAAGGAAAACTTATGATCAAAAAATGCGTCGCATATTAATAATATTTAATAATAAAATACGCAGCGCATTTTTTAATATGTTGCGTAAAAGATACATTTTAAAATTAATAATAAAAAAAAAAGGAAACACGTAATAAAGTCAGAAGACTCAAATTCAAGAAGAGAAGGGCGGACGAAAAATAATATAAATGAGAATAGATTTGGCAAACGGATGGGTTAGGTCAGATAAGAATGGATAATGAGTCAAAATAAGTTGAATTAAAATAAATTATGGATCAATAAAAGTAGATTTTAATTCGTTTATCATGGGTCATGAGTCAACCCATGAGTTGATCCAATTATTTTTTTTTTATAATTTATACCTATTATCATTCAAAAAAAATTATTTAAAATCAAATAAAATCTCATAAAACTCATCCAAATATCAACAATATCAAGGCAACAATTCCACGTTAATATGTATATAATTTCAACTCATCAATTTTATTCTTTCCAAGAAAAAAATTATAATTTTTATCTAATAATAACTTTTTATCTTGTGCCTAATAAACCTTATACTTAATTATAAAAAAATGATTATATCTTATATAACTGCTTAACTCTTCTTTATAATCAATTAGGTCACTTTTGAAAAAATATTTAAAAACAAACTTTTGTAGTAATATAATTGATTATTTTTCTTTTATAATTAATTATATTGTGTTTAGATTTGAGTGTAAGAAATTTTAATTTCCTATAAACCAAGCTAAGTCATTTTTTGTGCAGCTTCCCTTGATTCTTTTCTTGGGGAGAGTGCATACCAAATAGGTCCTCAACATCAAAATATATTACTTTTTAAGGTTATTATCTCAATTACTAAATACTATAAATTTAAACTCACTATGAATAAAAGTTTTAATTTTAGATTTGGGACTTTTGAAAACCAACATAAAGATAATAACAAGTTTTTTGATGAGCTAATTTCACTTCATTAAGAGTACTAATTACTCCAACTAATATAATAATGAGAATCAAATATTATCCCATAGAGACTGTAGATTAATAGTACCAAAAGTAATTAATTTTAAGTTTATTTAAATAATTGAAATTAAATTATTTGAATGAACTAATTAACTAAATTAATTTTTTTTTTAAATGAGTGGACTTTTTAAGTGATACAAAGAGTTAGAATTCTAAAGCATTTGATTTTATTATAATTAACTAATATAGAATTATCTTTGCTGGATAAGGGGGGGTCTTGGGGTGCCTAATATGAGTAGAAGGAATTGGGCTTTACTTGGGAAGTGGTGATATAGGTTAGGAGATGGGGTGGAGGGGTTATGGAAATGGTGGTGTGGAAAAATATTATGGGTGGAAGAGGGACGTAGATATCATTGCTGTAGAGGGATTAAATATGTCTATTACTTGGAAGGATATCATGAGTATTGGTGGAAAGTCCTTATGAACTTAGAGATATGTTGGGGAAGGTTTTAGATGGGAAGTGGAAGACGGATAAAGGGTGGGTTTTTGGAGGGAGAATTGGGTGGGGGGAACACTTTAAAGGACATGTGCCCTAGATTATTTGAGTTTGCTGTAAATAAGAAAGATACACTTATGGAGATGGGAGAGTAGGAGGGAGGTTGTTGGAGATGGAGGATGGATTGGTGAAGGTGGCGATTGGACAAAGAGTTAGGTGAAAAGGAGGTGCTGTTGGGTTGTTGGGAAGTGTGGGTATTAGGAAAGTCCGGGAGGATATAGATGGAAGTGGGTTTATGGTGGGGAAGGTGTTTAGACTATTAAGAAAGCTTATGAGTTGTTATTGCCTAGTGAAAATATTTTGGAGAAACAGGTGTGTAAGTTAGTTCCTTCAAAAGTTAGTTTTTTTGGATGAAAGTTATGTTTTAACAGCCTTGCTACAAAGGGCAATTTACATAAAAGGAAAGTGGCTTTGCAAGAGGAGGAGCTGATGTGTGGCTTATGTAAGGAGCAACTAGAGGAGCACAACCACTTATTTTGTGCATGTAGGGAATCGTGGATGGTTTGGATGAAGGTGTTGAGGTTGTGGGGTATGGAGGGGGTGTTGCTTAATACAGTAAGGGGGATGGTTGACTATTTTTT